AAGATTTTCTACAATAAGCCTGTACTCTGTACGAACAGGAGGTCCATATTTGTCTCTGCCAGAGGTTCTCCGACTGCTGTATCCACCTCCACCACCTTTATCACATGAAGGGAACAATTAGTTGCTTTGCAATGAYAGGGATGCATAATGTTTTTGAAAGTTAGTACAAACATATCAACTTTTATTTACTGGAGTAGGACTTTGCTATTATACTGCTAAACCTTCGATACATTTGTGATTTGCCATAAATTAAATTAAGGGCAAGTCAAATAGACTAAATCCAACTAAACCTCTCCTACAATCTGTTAGAGAGTGACTGCTCCTTTATTCAATTTACCTCGCTAAGTTTTATTTTACAGAACATTGTAAAATATAAAACTTAACTGATTACATGCATTTCTACATTTTACAAAAATTTTTACTAGTTACACTAAGTACTTACATCACAGTGTGAGGTTTTTGGTGGTGGTTTGGCCACAAAACACGCAAGGTAACAGTCACCTAGTTCAGATTAACCAGTTTTGTCTAACCCTTGGAATCCTCACCATCACCCTGCGTCTAATGGCAAAAGGCTGCTGTCGTCATGGCTTCCGGTAAGGTCAGCCAAAGGGTCATAGGGCAAGGGTCACACAATGTATGGAAAAGCCAAGGCCAATCAGGAAAGGCAGTCATCTTAGCCTCAGTGGACACAGCCTCAGCCCCATTGGTCACTTTCAAATTGAAACATCAAGGACTTGTTAAAAAGTTTGAATTCAACATGCAACAATTTCAACATCAAACATTTAACATAACCAAAAATCCCCCCAACCTCCTCCCAATAACATGCCCCAAATAGTTTAAGAACAGCATAAAGCTTATTTAGATTTACTCTGTGGTACAATACCACAATACTTTAAAATAGTATTTTCTTTGCCCCCCACCAACTTTACTAGCTCTTCAGATCTACACCTCAAGCTCCTCCCCTTTCCCCACCCCCTACCCCACCGCCACCCCAGCCTGTCCCCAAACTTCCACATTTCTATCTAATGCACTGACTAATAAGCAAGGGGCATAGGAGAAATACAGTCATCCCTTGCTTCCAAGTGGGCAGAACCCACGATAGTGCCAAGGAGGGCCCAGCAGAAGCCACCCCCCTCCCAACTTGGCCAAAACCGAATACCCAGACCCAAACCCCGCGCTCCGGTGTCCCATGGTTGCCCCGGGCAGGGGTGGAGGCAGCGGGGCCCAGGGACAGCCGGGTCAAACGACTCCCGGCCCCCGCACCTGCCCGGGCTGGGAGGCCCAACCCCGCCCACCCTAGTGCCTGCGCCCGCCCCCCAGGTCCCAAAGGCGCGGAGCGCGCGGGGGAGGGACTCACTGCGGCTTCCGTAGCTGTAGCCGTCGCGATCGCGGCGCGGGCCCCGGGCGTGCTCCACGATCACGCGCTCGCCGCAGAGCTCCTTGCCGTTCAGCTCGTAAACGGCGTCGTCGGCGTCGCGGGAGTCCTCGAACTCCACGAAGCCGTACCTGAGTGGGGGGGCGCGGGCCAAGCACCGGCGGGGTCGTCGTTAGCCGGTGTCGCGCACGTGCGCGCACCCGCGATCCCCGCGCGCACCCGTGGCGCCGCGCCGCCGCCATCTTGGAGGCTCTGCCACGCGGCGCCGCGGCCTTGGCCGCCTTGTCTCTCGGACAGCCCCAGCCGCCACTAGGCCCAGGGCGTTGGGCACGAACGCGGGCGCCCAGGCCCGACTCACCCATTTTTGAGGTCTACTTCGAGGAGGCGGCCATAGCCGCTGAAAAAGCGCTGGATGTCCTTCTCCCGGACGTTGTAGCTCAGGCGTCCTATGTAGACGCGAGGCATGTCCGTGGTGGGCGAGGTCCCGAAGGCTGGCTGTCGGACGGCGGACAGCAAGGCAGTAGCCGCGGTGCGGGTGCGGGGACGGCGAGGGCCCGAACACGCGCCTCACACCGCAGCGGCGGCCGAGTCCAGCCACACAATGGTGTGCGTGCGCGCCAGAGCTACGCTATATGGGCGGCTGGGGGCGGGGCCGGCGCGTGACGTCAATGCGCAGCACGCACCCTCCCGCGTTGAGCCCCGCACTCGGGAGTGACTTGCGGGTACCCTGCACGCGACGTGTCAGTGGAGTGTGACCTTGCTTTCAAGTTTTTCTCCAGTACTCCCACCCGGCTCTGTAAACATTATATCCTGTGGTCTAGCCGCGTACTTGTCTTTTYATTTGCGCTTTTTAATAAACTTCCCCTCTGTATTCACCACGAGAACCTTCCATTTTTATTGGCTCTGGAGGTTGTCATAAAAAGTCACTCTGGTCTCTGATTGGTCGGTTAAAACGAGGCTGCGCATTTCCTCCTCGGATTGGTTCACGCCCACTTGGCTGGGGGTAGTGGTCTCGCACACAGTTGGCTCGCCAGCTTCGCTGAGTCCGTAGCTTGTGTTTCGTCTTGGGAGTCGTGTTGCGAGCGCTCTGCCCTTCCAAGTTCAGTCCCTTGGGGACTTCACGGCCTTCATCAGCTTCCCACGCCTTCCTGCACCTGACCCTCCATGGCTTTTCTTTGGAGCACCGGCAGCGTGTAGATTGGAGTGTACATTGGAATCTGGCACTCGCTGCAGTGGCTCACAAAGGGAGCATGACCAAGGACCCTGGCACTAAAGGACTTTCCCACAGCAATGAGCTCTTTCTCCTATTTGGAGAGTCTGTGGAACCAAATCTAAATTTTCCTCCATTGGTTTGGAAGGCATTTTATTGATGGCAGAAATAAACATTTGTGAGGTTATCAATAGAGATGCCACTTAAAACTGCAGAGCTAGATAAGCACAAAGTAGTTTTCCGGTAGAGAGCAGAAGTCCCATAACTATACCCTGGAGTACCAGGAAGGGAGACTGGAAAAGGAATGACTGCAAGTCACAAAAAACAAACAAACAAACAAACAAACCAGGAGAGTACAATGTCACAGAAGCTAAGAGAAAAATAGGCTATCGCTGAGATAATACAGGTCTTAGGTATTTGTGCATCCCCGCTCTTTTTGAGTCACACAGTGTCAATATTCTTCAGCCCTTAGTTGAAAATGGGCGAATTTGTCCGCAAGGGACATCTGGCAGAGTCTGGAAGCATTGTTGGTTGTCATTGTTGGGGGAGGCAAGTTAATACAGTCATCTGGCCTGGTGGGGAACACCTGTAATCCCAACAACTTGAAGACTAAAGCAGGAGGTTTGCAAGTTCAAGGAAGCCAGAGCAATGTAGGGACACCCTGTCTCAAAATAAAAAGGGCTACAAATTTAGTTCAGTGAGAAAGCACCCCTAGGTTCAATCCTATACTGTCAAAATAAACAAAAAAGCTTAACAACAACAAACCCTGCCACCAGTCTGGTGGGTAGAGGTCAACCTTAAAATTAAATAAATAAGAAATATAGATTTAAAACAAATTTTAAATACTTATAGAGTATAATTAGGGAGATGAGACTTCAACAATATTATAATATTTTTGTACTCATCAAATTGTCAACATTTAAAAATTTGTGAAAATTAATTATTTGCAAGAGGTAAACTGGAAAACTACCCTCATAGTGTTATGCTCGAATTCGGGACCCCCAAAGACCACCAGAGACCCAAGATCGATGTAAGCAGCAAAGAGGTGTTTATTGCGAGCTAGCTCTGTTCTTTGCCCAGGGGCCCGCGCGCGCGCGCGCACACACACACAGCAACTGGTGATGCTGAGAGGCCCCGAGCCCAGGGTTTGCAGCAGTTTTATACATTCTTTGGAGAGGGCAGGGACTTCAC